GTAAGGAGTCGCTCGCTGTGTTTTAATTTTGAATATTGGAATAAACATAATTACATAGTAACACATGAAAAAAAATAGCAAGAAGAAATTTTTTCATGATCATATGAGTTTGCCGGATAAGTTAACTAATATTAAGTGTAATCTGACAGACTTAGCTCGTAAAATAATGATAAAGGAAATTGTGAAAATAATTCCACAAACATTAGAATTATGAAGTTACCATTTTAGTAATCCTAATTCCATATTTGTAAATTGGTATTATGCAATTCCACAATTATACAACGTGGTAACATTAAAATCGAACTTTAAAAAAAAAACACACGATAAAAAATTGCACCTTTTGAACTTCAATGATTTCCAGAATATTTAAAATTCGATATATTTTTATTTTTGTAACTTTATATGTGACCTTTCATTTGATTATAAATACAAAATTCGAGTATGTTAATAATTTAGTAATCGATAATGAAAAGTATTTAACCTATCTTCCCCATGATGGTTTCAATAATCAAAGAAACGCATTAGAAAATGCAATATTCATATCATGGTTTTTAAACAGAACTCTGATAATTCCGCCCCTCATTCTTTTCGAAGGAGTTGCACCAGTTATTGGGAAGCCATTAAATAGAACATACAATTTTTTATCAAAAAACATAATTTCTACCAAAAATCAATTTAAATACTGTTTTAAAAGCTATTCAAGATGTAGTTCAGTTTTTTGTTTTGAAGAAGGCCAAAGGAATTGCACTATAGTAACTTATACTATATATGATTGGGAAGAATTATTAGACTTTACATTTTTGAAAAATAATATTAAATACATTCATCGTCAAGATTTTAATTATAGTCACTTATTGGAATCACTTAACATCTATAGTAGTTCAGAAGCGTATAATGTGACTAAGGACGAAAATCAATATCAACAACGATATTATGATGACGCTACATCAACAATCGAACTTTTTAGATTCAAAGAACGAGTGAATTTAATCGATTTAAGAAAAAGAACCGAAAAATTAATACATTTTGGAAGTTTATTTTCATCAAATAGAACTGTTCGACAATTACCTGAAAGTATTGAATTTTGGAATAAGTTAATGATGAACATGCTACCGAACAATCCAATTATAATAAAAACTGTAGATAAAATTATTAATAAGATTGGAGGAATTGATAGTTACATTGGTGCTCATGCAAGATTAAAAGATGGTCACTTTATTAGCAGACGAAATGAAACAGTACAAGGACTCATTGAAAGAATTCAAACAGATTTTAAAGATGAAGTTTGTTTAACAACAAAAATATATCTGGCAGTAGATGTAGAACGAGATCACGAGTCCCTTCAACCACTTTTTCAAACATTCTCGTGTATTTACGTACTAGAAGATTTTAATGATTTTTTAGTACCTTTAAAATATTTAAAAAATCCTAAAGATGGTATGTATTTGTACGAATTTCTAGTACCGTTAGTAGATTTAATAGTAGCATCAAAAGGTATTAAGTTTTATGGATCTAGTAAGAGCACTTTTTCAGGTTATGCTAAACAATTAAACGAAGCGTGGATCAGATGATTTAATAATATTTAAAATATAATATCTATTTGAACTATTATGATTTTGTTATTATAATACTTTTAATTTTTTAATTTTTGTGACATTTATTAAATTTTCAACTTTTAATTTTGAAGAGAATTATGATTTTGTAATTACTGGGTTTTTTGTGTATTTTTATTTTTAGTAATACTGTAGTTGTTAAGCGAAACTTTTACAAAACGACAAAAGACGAAACAATATGATATAAAGTTGAAATATTTCCAAAAATCTCAAGTACATAATATTAAATTAATATTTATTTAAATTAATATTCTTAGAGCATTAATAAATTAATAAAATGAATAAAATTATAACCCAATAGAAAAAACCTCGTCTTTAAAAAAACAAACAATTATTATTATTATATTTTTTTGATATGGGTCCAAAAAGAATTTCGTTGAACTATCCATTACGGCCTCAAATTTTAGTTTTGGGGACAAATTTTATTATTGATTTTCTAATATGAGCCCCAAAAAAATTAATAATAACAATGTGTCTAACCCATCTTCCCGTTTTGATGAATTTCATCAGATATATAGATTTATTATAGCGATGCACCTTAACCTGGGAAACATTGATCATCTCAGCCAACCAAGATCACTATTTACGTATTAATAGTCTAATTTCTCAAATTTGTATTTTACAATCCTCTATAATGCGCATTTGAAGTAGCGACTTTAGATATCTAAAGTAGCACTTGACTAAAATTAAGCACCTAAAATTAGATCATCATACGTTTTTTCATCAGAGTCAATACAGCAATAGCCATACCATCAACACATGATGATTTTAGGGTTATGTAATCTCGTGATAAAAATATCGAACCATAAAAATCATACGATCTTATACTATAACAGTTAGATAACGTCTCCAAAAGAACGCAAGATTAGACTTGATTAGAATATTAACGAACGAGTTGATTGAATTCTAAATTTTGCGTTAGTTCAGTATAAAATGATTATGTACGTAGTTTTATAGAGAATTCATATCATGCTATTGCAGTCTCATGTTAATGCACGCCATTTTATAAAAATTTGACTTTTTACAATCACGATATCAAATTAGTCCAATTATACTAATAAAGGTTTATATAATACTGTAGTAACTATTTGTAACTTTAATCTTAACGTTAATTTTTCCAAGATGATAACATTACCTAATGAATGCATCTATGAAATATTAATTAATCTTCGAAATTATTATAGATTCTTATTTTCGTGTCTTCTTATAAACCGTCAATGTAATACCAATATTATGAAGTGAACCTTCATCGCATTTAAAGATAAAGAACTTACTGAAGTATATCTTTTAACCCTAAATACTGAAGAACTTTCCATTAAATATAATACTTCCAAATGATCCAAAACCATTATTTGATTACACTTTTTATACTAGAATTGTTGATTGTAATGATTTAGAAAATAGTATCGTAAATTGGCTTTGCTATAATGATAAAATTCCTTGTAATTTTGTAATTTTACCAATTATCGCAATAAATATGAACTTTTTGAAAATGAAGTTGAACTATTAAGTGTTCTTTAATTTCAATGTTTTTACAAACTAGGAAAACGGGATCCGTTGGGTTCCGGAGCGCCGCTTCATATTAGTATACAAGTTTCTTAGTAAATTTACTA